GGGCGAATAAAAGAGCCAACATTATACCCCCGTCCCCTTCCACAAAAAAAAAAAAAAGAGAGAGAGAGAAAAGAAAGAAAGAAAAGAAAAGAAAAAAAGTTAGAATCTACAAAGACCGCCGCCCCGAAAAAATATTAAAATCTTTTTAAAATAACCCATAAAAATTTTAAAAAATAACAAGTATCATTTACACGCTGAAAAAAAGATGGGTAAAATAAAACTAATACCAAAAAAACGAAAATCAAAACCAAAAAACAAAAGCAAAAACAAAAACCCATATCAAGAACCCGTTACTTAAGGAATGTCTGCGGCTCTTGTGCCCATAAAAACAAATACATATATATATAAAACAGAGCGGTAAGTCTATCTCTGTGTGTTTGGGGGTGTTTGCCACAGCTGTGCCCGCCCGGGCCACTTTACTATTCGAGTCGACATTCGTGATTTTTCCTTCCTATTCACGACATGTATTCGAAGGATGGGTGCTCTGGAAGTGGTTTTTTCCTTCTTTCCCCTCAAACATCAGTTCATTCGGTCTTATTTCTACTTCTTTTTAGTTTGTTTGTTTGTGTCTATTACTCTCTTTTAGCATATCTAATCTTCAGTATTGATTCGATCTAATTGTATTTGCAAGTGCCGTAAAAAGGCTTCACTGAAACAAAAGAAGCATGGCTGGGCCATGTTTTGTGATTTTTGCGGATAATAGATTTTCGTTTCAGTATTTTCTGCCCGTCGTAAAATTAGGGCATACATTTAAATGTCATTACTCCTAAAATCTTTGAGAGGTAAAATACAGAAATACTTACTAACTTGATGAGTGGGTGGTTGGTAGGCGCTCTGGTGTGGTTTGCTCCTTCTTTCCTAGTAAACATCCATTGTCCTTATCCCTCCTCCATTTTTCGTTCGTTATTCTCTTGTCTCTAGTCTTGGGCACTTACATGACCAAATTGTGCTGCAAAAGAAACAGTTTTTGATAAGTACGAGATAGAGTGATAAATGAAACCGAAAAGAGTATATTTAAAAGTGAATAATGCAGATGGACATAATGATATTATAAGAAAAAAACATTTTGCATTTAGTATTCGAATAGTACGAATAGTGACTAGACTCTTCGAAGCCTCGTTGAAGCTTCATTTCCTCCAAATTGCACAGCATTAGTTGTGTCTGGGCCGCACGGTGCTCAAGAGTGCGCTGTGCTTTTAGTTCTTTCTGAGTGGATGGAGGGAGGGAGGGATGGATAGATGGAGGGATGGATGGGTGGATGAATAGATGGGCATTCTTGAAATAACGCGACTCCTGTGAGTTGGCAAGGTTGTACCTATGTATTGCATCTCTCTCTCTCTCTCT